AACCCTAACAAATCTACTCATAATCACCCGCCATTCGACCAACCTCACAATATGGCTATCTACCGGAGATTTCCACCTGCTATTAGAGACTCAATCGATTTCATGTCTTCTGCTGGGGTTCGAGCCGGCCAGATTCGCTCTCTCCTGAAGGTCGAAACCGGATCACAGCCATTGGTCCGGGACATACACAACGCAAGATATCGCCTCAGGGATACTTGGCTGAACGGTCGAACACCAATTCAGGGTCTTTTTGATTTGATTGCGGCGTGTCATTGGGCTCATCGGACTCTCACCTCACCGGAAGGAACCCTACTCAATCTATTCTTCGCAAGCCCATCAGCAATCATCCTAACTCGAAGATTCCATACAGTCCTTAGTCTTGATTGTACTTACAAGACAAATCGTTTCAATTTACCTCCGCTACACATTGTCGGTACTACTAAAACCAATCGGTCCTTCACCGTGGCCATGTGCTTCCTCAATAGCAAAGTCAAATCGCAGTACGAATGGGCTCTTACCCAGCTCAAAGAAGTTATATTCCAGGACGAGGACCAAACTGTCACTACTCGACTCCCACAGACCTTTGCAACCGATGCTGAACCGGCCTTATTCAACGCGATTTCTTCGATTTTTCCAGACTCAGTACATATATTGTGTATTTGGCATATCAACCTTAACATAGCCAAAAATTGTAAGAGTAAATTTTCAGACGCCGAGTGGTCAGAGTTCATGAAGTTGTGGAATACATATGTTTCCTCTTCCACCCCAAGCGATTACGATATCAATCTCGCCGCGGTGACCAAAGTTGCCAGAGCTCATAATATCTTCGATTATTTGAACAGCACTTGGCTCCATCGAAGTGAAAAATTTGTCACCTTATACACGTCTCGTACCCTTCATTTTGGTAATTCTTCAACCTCACGAACCGAAGGGAGTCATTATCGAGCCAAACGATTCCTAGACGGTCGTAACAACGACTTTTTAACCTGCTTCAACTCCTTCAAGCGTTTTGAAGAGCATCAAATGAGTGAAATATCAATTTTATTAGGTATCGAAAGAACAAAGACACTTCATGATATGCCTGCGTTTTTCAAGGATCTCAAAGGAGTTGTATCACATTTCGCTCTCAAAAAGCTCAAACTTCAATATGATTTGCTTCCTGACTCACTCCAAACTCCGTGCACCAACACTTTCCGAGGCGCGTGGGGACTTCCTTGTAGCCATGAATTAGCTCAACAAAGAGATAATAAGGACTCCATCTCGCCTGATCTTATTCATACACAATGGAAACTTGCGATGGACGAACCTCCGGCGACCCACAACGGACTTATTGGAGCTGCACGTCGCAAATTCAACCGCTTGCTTGAGCTCCCTGAACATTCCCTCCGAAAACTTTTCAGCGAGGTTACCCTTTTGGAGACAAGCCGTTACTCCCTGGTTCCAATTCTCAATGCGGAGGTCAAAACTGACACTCGAGGTCGACCTCGATCAATTCATGGGAAACGGTCAGCCCCTGAAAATGACACCACCCGATGGAAATCCAATGTCGAAGTTGAAGAGGCTAGTAAGAAGCCTCGTACCTGCAAGTGTAGCTTCTGCAACGTCGGTGGCCATCGAATCACAACCTGCCCTCGTTGCCTTGCTCAATTGGCCCAATCTGACGGTGTTGTACTTACGTCGACCAGCGCAAAAGGAGCTCCCAAACACAAACAGCCAGTAGCAACCACTTCGTCAACCTCTAATGTCGATGACTTTGATATTGTACCACTGACATTATCCGACATCAAGGAAGATGAAGGAGTGCCTGGGTCCTCCGACTCCAAAAATGAAGATTCTTCACGCTCAAACCTAAGTGATCAACATGATCAATGTGAATCAGATGAGGAAAACCTGTGTCCGTTTTGTGATGAACCCCTTCCAGAGCAGCCTTCCACCAAACTCCTCGACTTGATGGCTGAACTATTGGCAAAGCCAAATATTCGCCAGGGAGTTGGACGCACTGGCGCTAAATCTCTTCCCGTATGTAATCTCGCTCAACTTCTCACTGACATTGTTTATTGACGTTTTTGTTTACTTGGTTGATTTACAGTTCATTCAGACGGTGGACTTTTGCCAGCTTCATCACGATGAGAAGGATATCATTCCACTTGGAATTAGCAACGGATGGCCGACCACAATTGATTTTGAACGATTAGAAGAGTATGTTTGATTACTCTCTAAAGTTTGAATTTACTTATCACTGACCTTGATGATCATCGTAGACGAATCAAGGGTCATACCGCGGTTCTTAGCAAAATTGTCAACAAAGTCAAAGGCTCTACCTACCTTGACGATGCAAAGAATAATTTCAAGACCAAGGGCAAATCCATTTTTCGAATTGATTTGGACAATATTGACGTTGAGATACCTGGCTAGTAAGTTAAAAGTCACCCCAAGACTCAAAGTATTTCTCACTGGGACTGATGAATACCTCTTTCAGTTACGGGTATCAAGGATTTGAGATTATCATTCAAACACTAGAGTCTATTTTCTTGAAAGACCCGTCTTCCTATAACCATCTCAATGCCAAGAAGGCCGCACCTCTCACACCCGATTTCTACCTGCGACAGGTACTCATACCAGAACTCAGTCTTTGCTTGATTGCCACCGATCTCAACTTGGAACCACGCAATCCCAAGGTACAAGCCACTTTGGAAGCTAGTCGGTCTTTTGGCTCAGCTGTATTTCCAATTGATTCACAATCTTCATTCAAATCAAATCGAAAAAACGTCGTTAAAGAATCAACAGGTGAAACAAAGGTCAATACATGTATTCAATTGCAAAAAAGTGCTGTTGTGAAACCTGAGGAACAGATCGTATTGCAGCAACTGCCCAAATTCATAATTCCTTTCATCAACTCGGTCTTCAATCCACCCGCTCAGGGCAACTGTGGCTTCTATGCCATTGCCCAAGCGCTGAACATATATAACCAGGAATCTTATGTATTAGTTTGCCATCAATTGCTTGAGGAACTTACTTTTTTTCGAAAGGACCATGAACATTTACTTTCAACTATGCACACCAGAATGAATCGGATAAGAACTCGGCAAACGCAACCATTCGCCACCGAGGTTGTTGATGATCTGGTTCATCGACTTCAACCCCAGGGACCTACGTGCACTCGGGAATTCTGGATGCGAATGCCATACCTTGGCTTCGTCATCGCAAGTACTTACAATCGTCCAGTCATCTGTTATGATCCGCTTGAAGTCAACTCATACACGTTTTTCCCTTATCGCACACTGCCCAACTCTAACAATCCTATAATCTTGGGATTCGTCAATGGTGACCATTTCGTTACTTTGGGTAGTTGTAATTGACTCGTACCTTTTCCTGAAGTGTTCAACCAGAACCACTCAGCCACATTCTCCAACATGCCGGAATGGATTAAAAAGTTCCAAGTTGAAATGGATTTGTGGGCAAAACGAAATTAGGTGGTACATTTTTGGAGCGTAGTTTTGTTTTCTCACTTTCTTTGTATTTGCTTTTGTATTGGTTTTCTATCGCTCTTTAGTCACTTTGTATTTCCCTGGTCTTCTATTATCTGTCGCTCTTTAGTAAACTACAAGTTGTATGAAGTGTCTCTTGTTCTATCTATGTAATCTCGATTTATGCGTATAAACCCCTTTATGTTATGCTATGACTTATGCTATGAACACTATTTTCAAGACTAATGATATGATATGATATGTTTAAGCTATCCATGCGCTCAGCTCCCTCAGCTGACGATCCCAAGTGGGAGTCTTTTTTGAGTCTGTCAAGAGCAGTAAAGCGAGCCTCTCAAAATGGTCACGGTAGGTAAAGTAAGTAAAGTTTAGGTTGCCCGTTTTTTTTCTTTTGTAGAATTACACTTGCCCGTTTTTGCCCTTTTTATTGAAAATCGGGCTGCAATATGGGTGTAGCCCGGTGTCCGGCCCCGGAATGGGGCTACGGATACTGATCCGCGGGCTCAAAATAGTGGAATCCATGGAATATAAGGACAGCTATAAGATTCTTTCATCCTTTCCTGCCCCCTGAGCAATAAACAGTTATCAATTGATAGATATCTAGATGCGCCTCGGTCTAGGTAAGACCGAGGCGCATCTTTTTTATCTTTGGGCTGGCGGGAGTTGAAAATGTAACAAAAAAGTTTTATAATGAGGATCTTTTTTTGCAAAAAGGACCGAGCAAACTCATGCCAAGATTTCGAGATAAGCCGTAAGTCCCTCGCTGGCGCTCGTGGCTGTATCGGCGAGGGACTTAGTTAAGTTTGCAATCCTCATGGTTTTCCACACCAACATGAGGTAAAATTTTGAAGCTCAAATTAACTTTTACTTCAACACCAAGTCGAAGTTGAAACCTCAACCTCAACATGTTATACAAGAACTTTCCTGGATCTTCATGAGTATGACTGACCACTGATCAGATTGATTTAGAAAATCTATTCAACTGATTCATTTCATATATATTCATAAATACAACCGATTCACATCACTACTTTTACTTCTTTTTGGTCATCAAGATTTTCTTCATAAACCAATCTGAAGTTAAGTTTTCTTGTTTTCCCTAATTTCCTTGAAATGTAATTCAAAAGGGGTTCTCAAAGTAGACCCGGTTTGTAAAAACCCGGTTGACCCAGTTGACTTTTTGGCTGTGATCTGTCCAAAAATGTCAACTCAATACACAAGGTTACTGCCAAAAAGCAACCGGGTCAACTGGGTTTTCTTGAAACCGGGCCAACTTTGAGAACCCCTAAAGAAAAAAATTTATATCAAAAAAAACAACCAGTTTCAAAAAGATCTCAAAGAAAAATCAAATCTGAATGACTTTTTGCCTCTATTTCTGAGATTGTAGGAGAAAGTTCTCCCTATTCTCCCCCCCCACCAAAGATCCCAAATCCAACTCATAAAAGGAAACCCCACTTAAAGAAAGAAAAAATTCAATCAATCATTGTTTTTTTATTATTAATTCCTTATGTAAGTGAGAAAAAGAAAATCCAATTCTTGATTCTCAAACCAACCACACAAACAAAACAAAAACAAATCAAGAAAAAAAAAATCAAGAAAAAGCAACAAATCAAGAAAGCAACAAATCCAAATTCAAATCCTTGAAAAAAACTTTACAAAAAAAAAAGAACATAAACCGACTTTTTGTTTTGCATTTGTATATATACCACTAATAATTATCATAATAATAAAGAGAGAATAGAAAGAAAATGGAAAAAAAAGAGAAATGAATGAAGATCAAGTAAAACGTTTTCAAAAAAAAAAGAGAAAAAATCAATGAATCACAAAAACAAACCCACAAAAACTGCAATGAACGAAAAGAAAACAAAAACAAAAACAAAAAGATCAAAACAGAGAGACAGAGAAAGGGAAAGAAAAAGAGACCAAAACCAATGTCAAAGGATTACTTATTGTTTTTCTTTCTTTCATTCATGCTTTAAACTTTTAACCAAACACACAAACATAAGCAACTGTTTGTCCATCTCGTTCCTAAAAAAAAGAAAAACCCATTTTAGAATCAAATCAAGGCAAAAACCAAACCATCCCCTACCAACCACCACCACCACCACCAAGAAAGTATCACAAGAAATAACTTACGACCATAGGTGTTAAATGAGCATAAGTAGGTTTAAGTTTAGATAACTTCTCATTAGATGAACTAAAAGTGTCAAAAAAATCCCAAAAATCCAAAATGTCAAAAATCCAAAAATTCAAAAAGTCAAGAAAAAAAATCAAAGAAACCAAAACAAAATCATATATAAACAAAAAGAAAACCAAACTTACAAAAAATACGATCTTTCAACCGCTTTAACCTGACATTCTTGACTAACGACCATCCCTCTTGAAAAAACAACCAAAAGATCAGAACTCCCTTTCCCGAAAAAAAAAAACAAAAGACTTACAATCGAATCACTTTCTTAACATGTTGTCTTAACTGTTGATTAGAATCTTTAGAAGTCGGATTCAATGACCAAAGTAATTGAACAAAATCACAATGAATCAAACTTGATTTATACGAATCTTTAGGTGTTAAACAAGGTAATCCTAAAAACAATAATAATGGTTTAGTTGCAAAGATAACTTTAAATTTCACCCCAAAAAAAAAACAAACCAAAGAAAACCCAAAATCAGTCACTTATCAAAACTGAAACAGATTATGAAAAGACACTCAGAAAAAAGTGAAATCCAAAAAAACTCACTTTCACGTGTGTCTCGTTTAAAGACTACTAATTTAGAATAAGTGGCTTCAAAGATTTTCATTTGATCATCAAGTGAACGAGGTACGTTCAAGTTGGCTTCAGCTCCCAACAAAAGTTGATTCCCAGCTTTCAATCCATTACTAGGACTAACACTACCCCCACCCCCAGCACTCCCATCGACCATGTTTTCCTTCTCCTTCTCACTCTTTCTACGAAAAAATCCCAACTTCTTACCAAACGAACCAGCGGGAGCAGGTGTAGCGACTTCTTCTTTTTTTTGAGTTTGATAATACCCAGCAGCCGAATAAACTTCCTTCTTTCCATTCAACCCTCCAGACGCTACTGATCCTCCATGAATCGTTGCTCCACTCTCGGCACATTCTTCTGTTCGATTAAAGGTTTGCATACTAGGTGAAAGTGCATATTTTCCATTCCCAAACTCATCAGATCCGTTATTGCCTACTATCACTTCAGGTGCTCCATCTGATGGATCTCCAATCAAGAATGAGAGACCCTTCTTTCCTGATAATAAACCGGTCACATTCACTTGTCCTCCAATGAAATCTATCAAAAGAGACGAGTCAATCCATGTTCTAGACTTAAAGAAAAATGGTGTGGTCGGTTCACTTACACACTAATGATCCACCAGCATCACGTAATGGCATGATACACAATAAACAATAAAAGGGCGTTCCATCTCGACGATAGCTACAAAGATCAATCATAAAAAATCAGATAAATGAGAAACACTGTAAAGAACAAAAAACAACTATCTTACTTGAGCAACAATTCAGTGCATCCTTCACCCTGATGAATATATAAAAATATGAAATCATGTTAGTTGAGTCAGATTCCTCTTTCAGTCTGATATATACACAATACTTACGTAATTCAATCCATCTCGGATTCGCTGTACACTCTGTGGAGCCGTACCAGGTCCCTAAACGAAAAAAAAAACATGATCAAGACATGAGATTCGTGATTTCCAAACAAAAAAACAGAGTGAAGAAGATGCCAACCTGGAGAAAACGACCTGTAGGGAGCCAAATTAGAGATCAGGACCCATGGTTACATCACACCAGAAAGGGAAAATAGGAAACTTACAATTCCTTCCTACAATTTGATGTTTCTCATAACCAGTCACACGAGTAAAACCTTCAGAGACTAATACGATCGGATGATCCCTATGGAGAGGCAAGAGAAGAGAAACATGAGAAGGAGAAGATCGATTATCCATCTCAGATTCAGAGAGAGGTGTTGAGACTTACCGAATACGGGGATTAGTCAAACCTATGGGCAACAAGACAGACGTGATCAGCATGAAGGAAGGATTCGAAAGACAATACAATTCATCTTGAGATCACTGAATGTCCATAAAACTCACAAAAACAATCACCTAAAAGTCAAAGTAAAAAGAAGATCAAGTCAGACTTCACTCCCCAAAAAGGTAGGAAAACCCAATCCAAAGAGAAACTCAACCAAGTCCATCACGATCTTCATCCCTAAGATTAAATTTTCCAAGTCGAACATGAGCCTGAGAAACGACTTGTTGTTTAACGAACCGTTGAAACTCATGATGATAAAGTGAGTTGAGTAAATGTTTTTGTGGTCCAAGAAATGAAACATTCAAGGAGACGATTTGACGAAGTGCCAAGAAAAGGTCTTCATTCAAATCGGGTGGTAAGGCTACTGTTCCATTCCTATTAGGCGTAAGATACATATCTATTCAACAAAAGATGTGTGAATGAGTAAGACATGCAAGTGATATGACAGATTAATAAAATCTTGGTATTGTTTTTTTTTTTCGCTGAATTTACCATGTATGCCCATAGAACCTTTCTTGACTGCAGAAATCACACGACCATAGGTACGGGTATCCAGCCACATATCCAATTTAGCCACACTCTCAGCTTTCTCATTCTTGATTAACCAAGCTCTAAACCGATGACGACCTAATGGATCATCTAATAATTCTTCAAAGACACTCTCATTTAATAATCTTCTCATCGAATAATCTAAATCTTTTGAAATTAAAGTGATAGGTAAAGAAGTTTGCATGCTTTCCACATTTCGAATTTCATTCCAATCTGGTAAATTAGGTGCCGCCGAATTAGATTTACTTATAGGACTAAAGGAAGATTCATTGGTTGGAAAGGAAGGCGTCGGTGCCCATTCTGATAAACTAAAAAAATCAAACTATGATCAGATACAAAATAGATTGAATTCAAGATCTAAAAAAAGAAAAACAGAAGTGCTCAACTTTTCGGCATATTGAGGATTTGACTTGGAAGGGAATGGTTCAGGAGAATCAGCTCGACCAGATCGATCGTCAGCAAGCGGATGGTTCTGTTCATTCGAAAGCGGATGCTGCCTAAATGGTTTTCTTTCATCTGGACTATGATGATGAGAAGTAGAAGAGACAGAAGACAGTTTAGAACGACTTGTAATCCCATTGGAAGGAGTTCGAGGAGGTGTACGAGGAGGTTGAGGAAAAACAGCTAACAGTTGATCGTTTGATCGATGATAGTTTTTGTTCAGCTCACGTGATATAGAACGTGTTGAGATTGAAGATGAAAAGGTATGATCCTGGTGTGATTGCTGTGATGGAGGATGACCATGTGCTTCTCCAATGACCGGACCAGGGTAGAGTGAAAGATGTTTTTGAGTTCGATCTTGTGAATAAGATTGAAGATGATGATGACCATCAGAATGCTTTGTATCAAGAGGACTGATAGGAGTGATCGGAGTCTCAAATTGATGATGATGAGTATTGGAAGAATGATTAGATCCATTCCTGGTAGTTCGATCAGTTTCATAAGGATTATATTGGGTTTCATGAATTGAAGCAGGAGGAGATGGACTAGGAGTAGCAGGCAAGTGATGGAGTGATCCAGATTCGTGTTTGGTTAGACTAGCCAGAGGATGTTGAGAGAGACGATGATGAGAAGACTGATTGTAAGTCATGATATGATGATGAGCAGTAGAAGATCTATCATGAGTGTTCTTGTGAGACAGTTGAGATTGATGATGAAGCAAAGATGAATCAATCGAAGGATGACTTGATAGCTGAGCCAGACTAGGAGTAAAATTAGGATCTCTGGTGATTTGAAGATTAATAAAATTTTGATCTACTACATCTGAATCTGAATTACTAGAATGATGATAATAATCCATATTTGACTTTCGATTAGAGTCCAATACACGAGGTTGAAAGCAAGAACCAAGACTGTTGTTAGATGAACTGGATTTGTAATTATTATTAGAGGACTGATAAACTGAACATGAACCCAAATCAGATTCAAACAAGCAAAAGGAGGATTCATTGAGATCAGTTTACTTTATGATAATGATAGGATTGGTTCGTTATTCATCTCACTGAAAAGCATGAGAGATTAGGTAATGTCATTTCAAAATCATCAATTCTCTTTGAATATGATCAACAGTCTCAATGACGTGACCGAGTGAGATTTGATGGATTGTACGTAAAATGTTCATGGAATGTTTTCGATCAAAGTTGTATGTACTGGAGAAGACTGAGTTGAAGGATGATTTGAATGAAGATAGAGAATGAAGACTAACCTAATTCAGGTGCAATATTGAAATGAGCTTCATCTTGATTTGAAAGGTTAGAAAGAATATTGATGGGATTAGACATGATGAGATCACTATCTAATGAAGTCAGTAGAATTCTTTAAAGTAAGTTGACTGTTGAACTGAGTCTGAAGTCTGAAGTCTGATGGATGGATGTGGTTTTGGTGATGGTGATGAGAAGAAGGTAAACAAGTCAAGAGAGAGTAGATTGATTTTGATTTTGATCAGTTCAGAAACTAAACTAAACTAAAAAAACTATAAAATAAATTAATTTATCTTAATCTTATTATTATTTTGATTTAAAGTTAACTTTCTTGACGATGTCCTGATCCTGATCCTGATTCTGATTCTGATTCTGATTCTGATTCTGATTCTGATTCTGATCTGCTGTCCTAGAGACTAGTTCGTTCTTCTTAAAATCTAATCTTGATTTCTTATTCTTATTCTTAATCTTATTCGAATTGGAATGGGAATTGGAATTGGTACCTTGAACCTGATCTCATAAAACTGATTCTAACTCTAACTTATATCTAACATCAAAAATTATCTATCATCGAAATCGGATTCCATATCATAAAGTTCTTCTACAGACTTGATGACTCATTCTTTGATTGAAATCATCAATTTCCCAAAGTAGACTAATTTGATGTACGGTCATACAAATTACTTTCTTCATTGTTAAAAGGCAAGGCAATAGGTTCTAAATCATTCCAAATTATATACTTCTTCATACATCAAGAGTACTTTATCATAGTATTCAAAACACTTGAACTCGAGTGGGCTGAGGCACAAATCAATGAAAACTCGAATCATAAAGATACATATATGAATCATCCGAGTGAGCACGGTGGTTTTTTAAGTAAAACCCCCACTTAAGTTCAACTTCAACAAATTCAAAATCAATCACACACCCGACCGAGCACCACAAAGCATTACATAATTTTATCTGATTCATAGAGCTTTCTAGTAAATCAATTGATGGGTTCAATGGTGGAGGTGGAAGTTGAATGTATAAAAAACCTTTAGTGGGTAATGCGGTGAGAATTAAGTGGCACGGTGATGTGATGTGATATGATCACGTGTGGATGGTGGCACTGGACCGTGTTGCATGGTCCTTTTTTCAATTGATTTGATGAATGATGAATCAGGTTTGGTAATGTGTCTTACAATCAAATTCTAGAATTTCCATCCATTCACCTTTCTCGGGCGGTGCTTTCTGGGCTGATTCATCAATTCATCATACTAATAGCACCCTGGATTCTGAATGGAAAGCTCCCTCTCTTGCAAAGGTCCCTCATTGTGAATGTAAGGCTATCTATGTATGACCCGGTCTTGACCACACCCAGCCGAGTCTGCCCGACATTACTTGGGAGGCAGACGGTACGTGCTCTCTCTTTAAACCTAACATCATTGTAACACTTGCAAAAGCTCTAGCCACAAAACCAGAGAAAAAAGCAATGACCTTCATTTCATGTCACATACATTCTTGAAACATAATCAAGTTCCAAAAACAAAATTACCACAACAACAAACTCTACAAAGCACCAACTCCTACCTTGAATTAGAGCACAAAAGCAAGGCCCTTCACTAATATAAGACCACCAGTGCCACCTACTTAGACTGGGGGACAAGTGTGTAGGATACTATAGTGGTGCAAGTGGTTAAAAGAGTAAGGTTGTGGTTGGTAAAGAACACCAAGGCTTCATACACACACACTGATGGTTTACCTTCCAACTTTAGAATGGGGATGAGTTTATGGCAATGGATTAGTCACTGAATAACCTCTGAATTGCTAGTTCAGAAGAAAGAACACTGACAGAACAAATACCTGACAGTTTTACGCTGTGGTCTTTATCTTCAATTGAACAAGAGTTTTGTTTTTAAAAAAGGATGATGATGATGCTTACACCACACAAGAACTTGAAAAACAAAAAATGAAAGACAAAGAATGGAAAGGATCTAAAGACAAACCATCTTTGGGTTCTTGACTAGATAAATGTCTGTACTAGTGTCTACAATTTTATCATCTTTAGTTAGTGTAATATGTGATTAAGCAACTTGGTATTTTCTCTTTTTCAAAAACGCCCTGAAGGTGCCCTGGAGCATACCAGAGTATAAAAACAATGTGGACAAAGAGGATTAGTAGATGTTACCTTTGAAAGACTACCTGAAAGGATTATCCCCAATTAGCACTTTAATTTTTCTCACACTCATCATTCCCAACTCTTCTGCATCTGTCACTGCTGATACCCTTTTCCTGGACTCTCCTTGGGCCATTCTTACTCCCTCTGATTATGTTTCCAAGATTATTTCCAAGCTCACAGCTACCAGTTACATAATCAGTGTGGGTAATTTGGAAATACTTTGCCCAGTAAAAAATTGAGAGGATATTAAAGAATCCATGCACAGCTAGGGAAAGATTCATTGATTCTGTTTTGGCTGCCAGTGAAGAAGATACTGATGCTCCAATTTCACTCTGCTACCAACAAATGGTTGTTGATAAGCACACCAGCACCAAGTCAATGATCCATCACTTGTTGAGATGTCACCATATTGAAACTCCTGTCATCACCAATCAACATGCAATGAATAGGACCCCGGAAAGCTCCTGTTGAACCATCCAATGGGGATTTACAAAAATTTGACTGTTTGATACCTCAAAAAAGTGGGTTTTTGACGCTTTTGATACCAATTTTGTTGGTAACATCCAACAGTTTTTGCCTTGATTTGGGCAGTTTTGTACCTTTTCCGTTGGTAACATGTTCTTTTTTGGGCTTTTACCTCTGTGACATGCCAGTTGATACAGATTTAATACCTGTATTGGTGTTTTTTGTTGGTAAGTTTTTTTCTATTTTTTTTTCAAGATTTGCAGATTGATACGTCTTTTGTCGGTAACATAGCCAAAGTCTTGATCCCCAATTGATACCATTTTTGTTGGATGGTTCAATAGGGGCTTTACGGGGTCCTCAATGAATGCTTACTTCATTGATGGGAAAATGACAAATGTAAATTCCATCTTTAGGTATTACATTACATTTATTGTTTCTTTACTCATTTCTATTTTTATCCTTGAAGTTGTCACCAGATCAAAACTCTTAACCAAGCTCATCTCAATGGAGACCTAATTTGACTTGTTGTGAACTGAGAGCTCCCAATCACCCTAGTCAACACCAAGGAATTCTGCAAGCTCATGACCATGATCAACTCCCACATCCATTTACTGTTTTTCTAAACAAACCTGTATCACCAATGGCATTGCTAAACAGTTTTGATCCACTTGAAACACTATCACCAGTCTTATGTCTTCTGTTTGTCATATCACAATGGGTGGAATGCTCCCAGAAATGTTGTGATGCTTGGCGTTGCAGCCCATTGGATCTCCAAAGACTTCAAGATCTACAGAATCACCCTTGCTCTCAAACCTATCAAAGGTCCTCACACAGGCCATAATCTGGCCACCCTCCTCAAGCATACCCTGGATTGATTCAAACTCACCAATTGAATGTGTTCTATTGTTGCCAACAACACTCCCAATAACTTGATCATGAGCCAAGTCCTTCAAAATATGATTGCCCATTCCAATGCTTCCAAAAACTTACATAGTTGTGTTGCTCATGTGATCAATCTTGTTACCAAAGCTGGATTGTCTGTATTTGATTGCACAGTTGTCCCTCCACCACTGAACACCCTTGATCATGCCTGGTCTCATCAAGATTCCCCTGCTGTTCCTCTTTTCATTGAGCCTATCCCACATGCCAACATCAGTAGCATTCTGACTTGGATCTATGGCTTTCACAAGAAAGTTAAACACTCCAGCCAGCTCAAGGTGGCTCTTGACAATGCTATTGCCAGTTTTCCAGAAGTTGGATTGTAAGGTTGGCTTGGTTCACAAAGTCTCAACCTGCTGTCTTCAACCGACACCTCACTTAAACTTTTTTACAAACTTACAAAGTCATCAAGTATCAATGTGAAGGTAATGATTTGCTTGAAAAATTCTCACACATCATCTTTGAGTGAGAACTTGTATCAAGTATTTTGCATTTTCTTGCTCTGCTTTCTGTTGTCATAAAGTTGATCAAGGGTCACAAGTACCCCACCTTCTCCCAGGTGATGCCAGATTATCAATGGCTTGTAGATCAATGTCTTGAAAAGGTAAGTTTTTATTTATTTCTAGTTTTTTCAAAACATCATTTGCTTACATATTTATCTTTGTATCTAGGTCTGACATAATTCTGTGTGCAAGGAATGAAAGGTTGTAATCCTTCCAATGCTACAAAGATCATGCAATGAGATAGTGGTCTGATGAACATCCAAAAATTGCTTGCTCATCTCATCTAGATATAAAATTGGATCAATATCCAGAATCTTGGCTATGACAGATAGGATTGTTGAAGCTCCACAATGCTTGTAGAAATCATGATCACAGATGACAGATGACAGATCAAGAGATAGTGGTCTGATGAGCATCCAGAAATTGCTTGGTCATCTCATCTAAATATAAAATTGGATCAATATCCAGAATCTTGTCTATGACAGATAGGATTGTTGGAGCTCCAAAATGCTTTTAGAAATCATGATGACAGATGACAGATGGCAGATTAAGTGTTGTGAAAGAGTTGGCCACATCAAACAAAGGACTGAGCCAAAATATCTAAGTGCAAGGTGAGGTCAATGGATGGGTAAGATTTTCTGCTCATAAGCATTTGTATAGACAGAACCTTCATGTTGGTAGAATATTTGCAAAAGACCATGATACTGGGGAGAAGTGGGAGGAGATACAATGATATCAGTGGGTGTGTGGATTGATTGGAGCTGGGTCAAGAAGCAGGCTGGGTATGGAATGTTAGTGAAACTTTAAAGGTCACCTGGGTGAGTAACAGTCCTGGTTTCTGCCTGGTATACAAAGGGTTTTTGATTTGATTCAATTTTTATTTATTGTATCTTACAGGGCTCTTGTTGAAAAAGTTTTATGTCAAGTTTCCAAAGGGGGCAGGACTTGAGCAAACATTGAAAAATTCATCAACCTTTAAGGGAACAGCTGTAAACAAATCCAATATAACACTTTTCTGAATGACATACATCCTTTAGTTCATTCAAAAGAAGAAATTCATTTATGCCAGGTACATATCCATCTTTGTTTTCTACCTGGTCCTTTTCAGACTTGAAGTTACAAGATCCAAATATCATAATCTAATCACACCAGTTTAGTCACCATCACTTACTTGGTTCTTTGTTCAATTGGACTCTTTATCTTATCATTTAAATACTCCTTTATATTTAGTGTGCATGGTAAAATAAAATTTCTTTGATTTGTTTTTCAAATTGCATTTTTTGTGGTCATATACAAACAAACATTCAATTTTTTAAAAAGAAACATACTTTGAAATTTAAAATTTTCATCAATTCAATCAACTAGGAAAAACCAGTTATTGTTTTTTTTGCTTACTATCCCTTTCTTTTTCTGTTTACTTTTTTTTATTTTTCAACTTTTTTTTGGTTCAATTTAATAAACTTTTCCAATATTTTCAATCCATTCTTTAGTTAATTCTAAATACCTTTTCATCTTATTTAATTTTAATTCTTCAACTTCTTTAAATAAAACTTCATAATGTTCTACAATTTCATTTCCAAACTATCAAGATACAAATTTGATTCAATCAGTTAACATCCTCTTTTATATTTTCAAAACATTCTTATATTCAAAACTTACTAATCTACAAAACTCTCTAGTCCAACCTTCAACCCACCACTTTCCCCAATCTTCCTTTCCATTCATTTCTTCTTCTTCTTCTTCTTTACTAATATCTTCCAATTCTTTTCCAAACAATTTGACCACTTCTAAAAACACTTCAATCAATTCTTTAATTTCCGAATTCAATTCAGAGATTTTACTTTCCAATGATTTTTCTCTTTCGATCCTTTTTAACTTTTTCATTTCTTCTTCTTTTAAAACTTCCGATTCTTTTGTGATTTCCGATTCGTTTTCTTCTTTAGTTTCTTGTCCCTCTTTAAGTCCTTCTCCTTCTTTAGGTACTTCTCCATCTTTAGATGCATCACTTTCTTTAAGTGTTTCTCCTTCTTTAGACATTTCTTCTGCCTTAGGTATGTCTTCCATTTCTTTATCTAATCAAACCAAAACAAAAATCAACATCATTTTCCTTCCTCAGCGAATTTCAATTCAACATGGTATACATAAAAAAGTTAACTGACCACCGGTCATATTTCCATCTGGATCATTTCCATTATCTCCATTCCCAGCAGCAGCTCTAACTAAATCCATTTCATCTTCATCTTCCTTCTTCATTCGGTTCACTCTAACTCTTGCAATCCCTACTCGATTCTTCACCATGCCAATCGATAACCTGATCCCATCCCAAAACTTTATTTCTCTTCTCTTCTTTCCATTTTTCTCTTCTTCTTCTCCAGTTTCTTCATGATCAAAGAAATGTTGAATTAAATCAATCGGATCTATCAATCTATATTCCATTAATTTCTCATATACGATTAATTCAAATTGTGGATTATTTTTCCAAACCCTTGTCACACTTTTTAATGTTAACCTTCTACTCTCTTTTGATTCAGTCATCTTCTTTAACAATTCTGTATATCTATTCAATCATCCAATTCAAAAAAAGCATTCATCAAACATTGAATGCCAATAGGTGGGAAGAGAACTCTGAGACCGACCTTTCCAAAACGTTTAAGAAATGTGAAAAAGATCTTGATCCAACAAAAAGGATAGCTTCAATTGTCAATTGATGTTGAATAGAAAGTGCTTCAGATCCATTCATGCCTTCTTCACCTTCAAATCTTTCTACCATCTTCTTTAAATACTCTAACAATCGGCTCACCGGTTCTTTACGTTTTAATAGTTGAACTATATCTGAACTAGCTAAATGATGTGGATTTTCTGTTTTTCATCATATCCAAAAGAAGAGAAACTTTAGTGTTTCGTCAAGATTATAAGGGGAATCAGATAGAAAAATATATACCTTTGTCTTCAAATACAAATACTGGTCCTGGAGCTTTCCCAGCCATTACTCCCGATTCCACATAACTAGCTGGAACAGTACCAACAATTCGATCATAATAACTTAATCTGAGCTCAAGTTCCAAGATTCTTGAAACCAAAACTCGTTTTGGATGATCAACTTCTAATTCTGTGACTTCCGTCCTAATAAGAACCATCAATCAAAACATAAAGCTATTTTACATATCAAAATCCAGAAAGACTTACCAATCCTTCCAAACCCATAGGAATCCAAAATTCGATAAATGGACTGCGAACCAATCTGCAAACCTTCTGATAGCTTCAGCCTCTAGAACTACAATCGTAGTATTCTCTTCATCATCTGTTGTATCTTTTTTTGCTCCTAACCCCCCAAATAACCTTCTCATACATTTCCCCAAGGCTGGTGCGACGGTCGATGGCGACAATTTACAAAGTTCTGCAATTAGACTGGAATAATAAACCGATGGTTTGATTGGTGGTCTTGGCATTCCGAATATCGAGCTGACAATGGTCTGGAAACGTGTTGAGAGACAAGAATTAGTACTCCAGAGGCCTACCCGAGAAGCCGGATAAGTGACATTGGGAAGCTGAGAGGAGAGGATATTGGTCTTCGTTGAAATATGGGACCCTTGCGGTGTTTTCAGGGAGAGATGTGTAGTATAGAATACCAAATGACGCAATCATAACACAAACCGATCCTTCCTGATGCTAAAAGAAAGAGAGGAATAGGAATCCTTTCAGCTGACCTCAATGATCGAGTGTTCCAAGACCCAACCTGGGCCGCCGTCCGTCTCAGCAACATCCTTAGTCGCTTTGCTCTTAAAAGTCCCCCTTCCTACCCATCTAGGTAATTCGAGTAAAATCTTAGCACATTCTTTGCGATTAACTTCAAAGATGTCAATGATATCGTGTATCAGAGTCCTTAGGACCACTCCATCTGCTGTGCTGCGACTAGGAACGCTCTATAGGTTAGGAAAAAGAAAAATATGCCGAGTTAGCCTTTCCGGCACTTTTTCTATTGTCCCCCCTTGCCGTTGTTCTAGTTTGAAATCCAAACTCAACATTGTCAACAAACATCTTCAAGAACATTCTGACACCTGTATAGCCTATCCTATCTTTTGAATCGGCCGAAAGAGGACGTCCAGGAGCCGCAGAGTTCGACGAATGATGGTGAGCCGCGACATTGACCGACACCACTGGTCTGTCCTCAAGTTCATCATCATCATTTTCAGGTGGTAATAAAACAACAGGTAAATCAACCGGAGAAGGGTATTGTACATCCACCCCACTGTAAGATTTCATCCTAGCTTCAATTAGGGGTGAGAATGGACTATCGAGGATTGGTAAGACGCTGATGGTAGGCTCGTCAAGTGCTGCTACAAGTTCCTCGATTGGCTAGTCAAGACCAACAAGAACAGGAGTCTAATCAGTATAAGTGGTCTGGTACAGTAGTGAAGATGGATAAGCGCGTGCGTAAAGTACCAACATCGGTATATTGATTCAGAGCAGTTGCTTGATTGAAGAGCGATCGGTCAATTTTACGATTGGACATATGCGTTTTGATGGCATCAACTAATTGTGTGACTCCAGTCCGTATATCGGCTATTTCTTTTGCCCGTTCAGCTTCTTGCTCTGGGCTCAAAGTTTTTTCAGTTTTGGTTGCGTCGATATCATCAGTTTTAGAGTCCTTGGTCATATCGGCGGACTGGTCAGTCGTGATAGCTTTAAGTTCGTCAGATTCAGGTTCTTTCGATTCCCCAAGGTCTGGCTTTTCAGTGTCTGTAGCTGTTGTATCCCCCGGTTGAGTGTTGGACGAGTCAACATCCATAGCTTTGTCATCGCCATCTGACTTGATAGCCTGATGTTCGGCGTTTGATGTACCAACGGTTTTAGATGGCTCATCTAGATTGAGAGGTTTCGAATGATCCTCCGAATTTGGACCAAACCTGACCCAAAGTCCAGACCTCACTAAACCTTCGGTAGCAATCCGAACGCATTCATCAGCCCGAGAGATCGAGCAAGTTAATTCATCAGACAAGACTCGAACAAAGGCTTGAAGGATAGCTAATAATGATCGATCAGAAACGAGTGGTCTCTGTAATGAATTGAGTTGTCCGAAGAGTTGAACACATAGTCTAGTCGATCTCCATCTACGATTATCAATGTGTTGTTGAAAAGCTCTGCCTAATTCACGGATGACTTGTAATCCGATTGGAGTTTCCGTAGGTTTAGTGACTGCAGGAGTAGAAAGGAGGGCTATGAGGAGTGCATAGTGTGGTAATTTATGGGGAAGCTCCACCGTACTGTTTCGAAAGTCAATGGTTGGTAAGCTATTGATTGTGGTCGGATTTTGTTTCAAAGATCAAACCAAAAACATACGCGATACGAAAGACAGTCAAGACATCAGCAGGCCAATGACGAAAGTGTTGTTCGATCAGATGAACTGTCTCAGGAATCTCACGACGAAAATCAAACCGATCCGAATCGCCTAATCTCCAAACGGTAGCAAAGAATTGATCTACTATATCATTAGCATTACCACCTGCACCATTTTGATGAGGATGACTTCGACGAGGTCCTCTATCTCTACGTTGTGGCTGGGAACGGTTATCGTTATTGTATCTTCTTCTTGCTGAATCTGGAGTGAAATTATCTTCTGAGTCTGAGAAATTGAATTAATTAGATGATGATGATGATGAATTGATAGAATGATGATGAATTTGACAATACCTCTGTTTCTTTTTCTTGAATCTTGATTTGGCGTATTCCAAGCTGAGCTCATGACCGTTGATTACGATTAGGATTGGGCTTGAGAAGGTATTGAACGATTGACTGCAGTGGCCCAGAGGAACTCAGAAACCAAAAACAACAAAACTCAAAATCGATCGACAACTACATATAAGCATATCACATGACTACATACTTTGTGTAAGACTATATCTATGGTGGTCAAACCTGTGCAAGAAATTTGCAAGACCGACGTGCAAGATCCGCGCAAGATCCGTGCAAGATTTCTTGCACCGATCTTGCACAAGTATGTTTTTCACAACCCCACCGTAATTACCCAAACTTCACTCATCATGCCACGTGTCTCATCCAGAAGACAAGTGATTCGAATGTTCAAGCGACTCGCCAATCTAGACTACCCTTATACCTCTCACAGTCTTGTTTTAACGCGAAAGCGAAAGGGTTTCCGCAGCTCAAGTTCAGGTTTCTCCGCCTTCTTCCAGCTACTACAGATTCCTCAACTTCAATCGGTGTTCAATCTGGAACCATATGTTTGTGTGGCTCTCTGGATGCTATTTCAACGACGACCGAAGCGTTTGCTCCAATCATCGGCGCGCCAAGCTGAACAACACCCACTGGCTTTATTCGATAATCCGGGATTATGGTCACTCGCAATTGACATGATCGAGCGAAAGCGATACTTCGAATCCAGGCGTCGCGAACCTCAAGCATGTCTAACGATGTTCAACAGATTTTGGGGATCACACGATACAACCTTTTTAACCCTTGTATGTTTGCTTATCCAGGTATGAATTTTCAAGTTGTCTACAAGCTAATTGTTGGTTTCACTTGCATATCTAGGCTCGAATGAATCGGTCTAGCTTCTTAACATTACTGAACAAAATCGCATCGTCTGACTTATTCGAGAATCAATCAAACTGTCCGCAGGCCCCAATCGAGCTGCAACTGATTGTGACTCTGGCCAATCTTGGCCTTTCTGGAAATGGGGGTGGTCTGAATGTTCTCGCCCATATATTTGGCATTTCAAGTGAGTTTCAAAAATGACATGGTTGAAGCTATTTAATTAGTTACTTTCACTGACTTGATGCTTTCAGAAGGGAGCGTTGAAAATTACACATGGAGATGTGTGGTTGCGATTGTCCGATTGGAGAGAGAATATTTGTCCTGGCCAACCCCCACGGAGCGAGCAAAGATTTGACAAAATGTGGGCAAAAACGGTCCTTTCAAAGGTTGTGTAGGTTTTGTTGACGGTACCTTGATACCGCTTGCTTTTGGTCCTCCGAAGTGCAAAGAGGATTATTGGACTCGGAAGTTTTTTTATGCAGTCAACTCCATGCTTGTATGCACGCATGATCGTAGGATCACGTTTGCTCGGCATGGGTGGTGTGGCAGTGTGCATGACCAGCGAGTCATGCGTACATCTTCAGTAAGTTTGTTATTTTTTTATTTCTGGTGTATGGTATTCATTCAAAACACTTACAATGTTTGAATTTGGATGTCAAGTTGTGGTCGGACCCAAACAATTTTTTTTCAGAAGGAGAGTATCTTCTGGCGGATTCTGGGTACAGCTCCAACTCGTTCATCATTCCAGCTTTCAAAAGAGTGGGAGGTCTTCCTCTGACCCGCGAGAAGATGTTATTCAACAAACTCTTGAGTGAATTACGTGTCGCAATCGAACATTGTAATGGAATGCTGAAATCTCGATGGCAATCTCTGAAAGACCTACGATTACTCTTAAAGGACAAGAAGTGTGTAGCCCGTTTGAATGCTTGGATCTCAGCGTGTTGTATCCTGCACAACTTCCTGTTGGATCAGAATGAGGGATGTGCTTTTCATTATGATATCACTACTCCTGTGGATCCCGAAGACGAGTTCATTTTGAATGAGATCCGAGAAGACGATGATGAAGACACAAGAATGCGTGTATTCCGCCTTTTTTGTGAATCGTTGTAAACTTTTTACACTCTTTGTTTGTTTATCTGCTTAGGATGCTATTAGGTAGTAGCAATTTGAAAATATCCTTTTTCTTGTTTGCTGCTCGTTAAAGCGCTTGTGCGTAATAAGCAAATGAGAGCTAGAATTAAAATAATGAAATCGATTGCTTATTATCGAGACAACTAGACAGCTGATTCCAAAGTTTTTTTTTTGGATTTTAGTTTGTAAAGCACACTGCAAAGGAAAGAATACAAAAAGGAAACAACAATTGATTTCAAGTTTTAAAAGAATCAAACTGGGAAATCGTTCACATGAGGTTGAAACAAATAACAAATTGCCTAAAGAGGCTTTTAACAAACTCCCTGGGTATTATCCCTCAAGTTCCCCTATCACAGCAATCACGCATGTCAGTGTTGCCCAAAATCGTTTTGATTTGATAATGCAAATATATGAGGGTAGAACACTTACTACGAAGTTGTTCTTCTTGCTCTTCAACTTCTTTTTTAGCTTCCTCCATTGACAAACCAAGTGCCTTATACTTTGCTAACATAGCCAACTTGCGTTCGCTCCTAGCTGTAATGAGATCTTCACGGCTGCGAGCCAACTGAGATTTTGCAAGATCGAGTTCAACTCGGTCTTGCTCAAGTTTGATTTGAGCACGTTCGGTGCGTTCGGAATCCTTCAAAGCATCGTCTCCTCCGGAAAGGTGACGGGATAGTGCATCCGCCAGTTTGGCCTGAGTCTTAAGCTCTTCCTGTCGTGCATCTTGCTCAGCCTTCATGTACTTCTCTTCAGATAACCATCGATCCTTCTCAAGCTTGATTCTCTCAGATTTTTCTTCACGTGAGGGTAGTTGAGAAGATAAGAGATTGTGTACATCCGATGCTGAGCTAGAGGTCGACCTCAAACCTTGATTGTTATTGATTTGAGCTGATCTGGGTCGTTTGGCAGGTCGTCCAGGTGGGCGGTGAGCGCTTACACCTTTGCTTGACTTGTCTGGAGATGGTGAAGATCTTCGGGCTTGGGACATTGAAATAATATCAGGACCGTTGGACGAGATGGTGAAGTCTAAATCTTGGGTAAGCTCGCCATTGTTTTCCAAAGGACTTATATCAAAATCTCGGGTTTTGTGTAATGACAATATATTGCTATCTGGAGAGTGGCTACATGTGCGCTTGGTAGAGGGAAGAGGAAGAACACTATCTTCATCTAAAACATCCCCACTTTCACGTACGGACTGGGGTATCACATTAGTGCGAGTTGACATAAAAGGTAAGAGATCGTAGTAGTAGACGCATCGTTGGAACAAAAGCTCTAAATGAGAGTGATACACAATTGTACATAAGCATTTGACCTTTCAAAGTATGATCAGCCATGGAGGTAAAGGCACATACGGTCAAACTTTGATTTGGTTGAATGCTCTATTGCCTTCCATTCATCACTATCAGATAAGTACCCCATCTCGGTTTTTTCAAGTCGTGCTTGTTGTTCTAAGTCTTCCAAAATACCTTGCCCAGTTCCACTTCGGAAGTCTTGAGCAATGGTGAAAGTCGATTGAAGGGTTCGGATCTAAATTAAATTCACAGATGCATACTTTAGTCAGCACCTTCAAAGTCGAGAGGATGTGCAAATACTGACCTGTGTCTCTACACCTTTCCCATCTCGACCTGGTAAACCTTGTTCGGCCAAGTACTCAGCAACTTTTTCCCCAACATCCTTTTTGCTGTAAATTGTTCGCGTATCCATATCCATCTCTCCCTTCCACCAATCATATCGTGTACCAGTCGTAGTTGCGGTTCCCAACCACTCGATTATTAGAACAATAGCGCTTTTCCCCTCAGAATTAAGTTCAGTTCTCCATGAAGTGTTTTTCTTTTCTTCATTTGATTCTTGAGGGGTTTTTTTTTTGGTCTCTGACCTTGTTGTTGAATCTGAGGTCTTCCTCCTTGTGTATTTACGTTTTTTCTTTGGTGCATCTGAACTGGGCTCTTTTTGAGTCGAAGTACCCGGAGTAACCGGAGCCATAGTGATCAAAGGTGAGTTACTGATCGGAAATTGTTGGGTGAGACTATTAGATTGTGATAAATTCCAGCTAGTAGCATTCACTGAAGGTGGGATGATTGCGAGCTGAAGAGCTTGCCCAGTGATTTGACTTGGGCTTTGACCCCAGTTGACCGGCGATATGATCTGCAGGGGGGTGGTGGTGCTTGAATCAGAAACGTGGGGCGATAGGACTTGAAGGTTTGGATCGAGGTGTATGGGAGTTAAGTAGGATTGACTTGCAGGGGGTGGGGGTGATTCAGGCATGGCTGTACAACTGATGCTCCTCTGGGAAACGGAAACTGAAATAAGTTTGGTGGCCTCAGCAACGAGGCTTTGTTAAGTCAGCATATGTAAGTCTTAAGTATGCAGATTTGGTGCAAGTTCCGTGCAAGATGTTACAAGAAGTTGCACAGAAGTTGCACAGAACTTGCATAATTTCTTCTCGAAGTTTGACCACCATAATCATATGAGCCACCATTTCGAAAACCTTCAAAGCTCCTTAGAGCATCCACTATGGTGGGAGTGTTTTATCGTAAAATTTGCTGTCTTAATTGAAATATTAATCATCTTATAGGCTTCTTACTCTTTCTTTATTTTCCTTATGACATCATGCATTTGTGTTATGTTTGATTAGGTCATGTTCTTAATGTTTGAGTTTGGTATATATATAAAAGATTCATGACACTGTTTACCTATTTCCTTTTTATTTATCAAATTTCAACATTTTGTTCTTGACAATCTTCTTTACCTTCAGATTGTATCTTGACCTTCTTGTTCAGTGTGTGCAGCTTTTACAAAGCTGATAACCTGATACTCACAGGTTAAATCACACTCAAGTAGAAGTCCAATACTGTTCATAGAATCCTTACCAGCTCCATGTCTCACAATTCAACCGCGTCCACAAGTCTGTCTGTCAATGAATTGGTGATTCTGTTTGGAGGATTTTTGTGCCTTAGATGGTACATAACAACGGTTGGTCTATTGAAAGTATGATAAAAAAATGTCTAATCTGTTGATGACTTGGCAGTGATGATTCTCATCTTTTATTCCTGATGTTGAGGAATTCTTGACTCTGTGTGTTCCCTCCTTGATTCCGCATGCTCTATCTCCTTTAATGCTTTTGCTTTCTTCTTCTTTTCCGTTTGTTTGATTGCTCGGATCATTCTATTTGATGTATAATCATTTAGTATTTATCTCCACATTCAACAATATTTTGGTAGCTGATTTATGGATAGATATGATGCAGAAGAAGAAATTTGAAAAGGAAAAGGATTTTATTGAGCAAGTAATTTCAGAGGATAGTTGTAGAAAAAATCTGCATGTCTCTTTCCACCACTCAGTGTACATGACTCCTGTGACAGGAGTGTGTTCTCTGTCACCTGTGAGGAGTATCATCCTTATCTGCACTTTTCAGCTCACACTGCTTCTGGTTGATGGACCTCAGTATTCCGCCGCGGGCTTTGGGAACACTAGCAATGTAACCTCAAAGCAACTTTATAGGTATGTCAAGATGGTCAAATGATTTGCAGATATTGAACGTTTCAGCAGGATACAAGGAAGGATAAAAGAGTCCAAGAAAAGTATGATGAAAATCTGACAACACATATTTGACCTAGCTATTGATACTAAAAGAAGAAGATCCCCAAAGCTTTGCCAAAGTGTTGGATTGCATTATGAGTTTGCCTTACAACCTTGGCCCAAGACCGAAGCACCCGGCGCCGGATTCTTACATAAGTGAAGACATTCAGATAACAGAAAAAGCAGCCGGCTTAGCGACCGCGGGGGAGCTTCATAATAGCGAGCTTGGATGCTTACCGCAGGAGAGACTGACTGGCAGCAGTATCTTGAAGTATTGGACAGACAAGTGCCGGTTGTATAGACCCCTGATACACAAAGAGTTGTCAGCAGAGAATTAGATACCTAAAGGAGCTGCAACATGAGCCCAAAGGGATTGCAATACTAACCGTATAAACCCTGAGTCGATGGGATGGTCGAAGCGCAAACGCGCAAGTTGCTGCTACATGTTGGTAGCACTGAAATAGCACCGATCACTGTGAAAGGTACGCTAGCCATGACAAGTGGAATAAAGAGCTTCATTGTAAAGGTACGCTTTAGTTAAGATGTGAGTGTTTTTATGGATTTGAAAATGATATTCTAGGAAGAGTGATGGACAATCAAGATTCTTTTCGGAGCCGATCAGAGGACGGGTTTATATAGTGTGCTGATGTGGTTTTGGTGAGTAGGATCTGGATTGCTGTTGGAGCTTCTCGTATGTGATCATGTCCTGATTTCTCAAGCGTTTAGGGGACGGTGTCTATTTTTGTTCATGATCTCCGACAAAGATGAAGTCGAACGAATTGATAAGGCAAGCTGTGCAGGATTGCGATTGTGAGTTTACAAAAGCCATCGATAAGCCAAGGCTTACACGTAAGCTTGGATATCGGAGCCTGTTTTTTGATTTTGAGCTGAACGTAGTCCGACTCCCATCACATATCACAGGTGAAGCGAACCATCTCTCATGACCCAAGCGAAAGGTAGTGCAAGGACGTTTACTCGGTCGGAATTGTTATAAACAATGAGGTCCTTGTTTTGGTAGGATTGATCACGAATCCCTTGCGAATTCATGGCAGTCAAGAGCCTTTCAAGTTCTTCGGAAGAACTTATGCAATTTGTGCACAGCTTTACACTGAGCTTTGTGCCGAGCGTGTTTGCCGAGCTTGGCGCCCTAAAGGAAAAAATTTTCTTCAACTTTTTGAATGCCCATCGACGAACTTTCCTTTCATGATCTCAGACCAATGTACATGCACATACGACACCTGATCTTTGCATCCCAGATCACAAAGGTATGGGATTGGGCGAGCGGTGCAACCTTGCCCTACCGGAGGATACTCAGTTCCCACTGCCCACATGCCGATTCTGCTGTTGGCGGTGCCTGGAATACCCAGACCAAATGCTCAAAGATGAATTGCCGTGGATCCGGATCTCGGAACACGGGGTTTGATCATACTTTTGATGCCTCCAAATGGGTTTTGTGCGATCAGGAGTTCGCATGATGATGATAGGGTAGGACAGGGTACATTACACGAAAGCGGTGTTAGTGATTGCATGTTTGAGACTCGAGTGGTTGTTGTTCAGGATTTCTGTTTCTGCAGAGATTGGGATGTTGGATTTGACTCTCAGATATATGTGCAAAGGGGATTATTTGAGATTTTGTCCAAAGTTCACCACCAAAAGTGGCTTTTTTACATCACCCACCTTCATAGGAGCATTCTAGGGTCCTTGTGGTACCTTTGACATGCACTGCAGGCAATTCTTTAAACATCAGCCTTGGAACATCAGATACACATTGCATTTATATCACAAACAATACCATTATGGTGATGCAATGTCAATGTAGATGCTCTTGGAGGCCTAAAGTGACATTTGAAGGATGGCATATTGACCAAATGTGGATTACATCATCACCAAGTTTGTCACATATATGGGTTGCAAAGTGTCCTCTTAAGGATCAAAAACTTCCATGCACAATTATTAGGTTGCAAATACATATCTGGCCGAGTTACAACCCCAAAAATGAATAACACATGTGTGCAGTGATGATGTTGAACAATCAATACCTTGGCATTTTGACCCAGCTTGGAGTTCTGTACATGGTTTTGGGCAGCAGGTTGGAGATGCGATTAGATGTGTGTTTCTTGTGATATCATGTGGTTATCTCTAATTATTCTAGCTCAAGTTTGTCCAGAGTCACCCTCATCTATGTCTATATCTAATCCTCTAGATGCTTTTGTTTTCTCTTAGTTCCTTAGCTTCTACAACTTGGAATTCTTCTTTAAACTACATTTCTTTATATCATAACTTGAAGCTCCGTGTTGCATGCTTTTTGCCCCCAACAGATTGCTTACCGCTCAGGCGTGGCATTCCTTTTCTGAAAGTTGTGGTGCTGGTTTGAACTCTGTTTGGATATTTCAATGGTCTCACCCTTTTTGTGAAAATCATCAACGTTCTGACTACTAATTCATCAGCACTTGATGGGGTTAAATGAGCAATCCAGTCTTTTCGTTGATCCTTTATGAATTCCAATGCGTACATGGCGCCCACACGTTCACGTCTTCGATCAAACATTCGGTGAGTCAGCCAAAAGATGGTACCGTCGTATAATGAAAGCTTGTCAAACTGTGCCCTGAAAACATTGCTCTTATCTGCTTTTTCGGGGGGACGTCTCAATCCTTGAAGTGGCAGCCATTCGAAGCGAGTCGAGGTGATTTTGGCCAGTTTTTCCTTGAGCCAATTATGCCCATCCTGGAGATCTTTTAGCATGTCTGTGTGAAGACCGTTGGACAAAACCACTTCAGAACATACGCTTAACATCTCTAGATAATTATCCCAAGTCTTCTTCATATTTTCAACCAGATATGTCATGTGCCGCTCCGAAATTTGATGTGCACCCATTGGCTTGAGAAATTCTAGAACTTTATCTTGGTATGTATCAATCAAGGCGCGAGGCGGAAGTGGTGTGTGATTTAGATTTGATATCAGTTCCAGACCATGACCATGGTTCTTGTCGTAATCTAGGCCGGATTCTTGTTGTGGAGATGTGGAACTCAAAGGAGAAATTGTGTCTGCTGCCGTGTGGCTTGTCTCAGACTTTTTTGAATCAAATCGGATGGTTTCGACAGGGGAGTAGAGTTTTGATCGTGTCTGCTCGAAGGTGTTCCTCGTATTTATCTTACGTGTACTTACCAAATAAGCTAATTGCGCCTTTTTCAATCTTTCATGAGGCCAGTTTTCTCCGTAATATATTTCTATAGCTCTAAGTTTTGAGTCATGTTTCTGCAGATCATCGGTATTGCTGGAAATAGCTTCCTGGTGCTGTTCTTTGGATTTTGAAACAAAAGTTGACCTAGAGAGGCCTCTAAGAGTTTTACGAGGTTTAGATACTAACTCAGAGGAGAGTCGGTTTGGGAGATTTGATGGGTCCGAGGTAAAACGTTCGTCATCTAGAAAGGAGGGAAGCCTTTCTACTTGGCTGATGAAGCCGTAATCGTTGGCAAATGAAGAAGAATCATCGGCAGCTTTTCGCTTGGTGGATTGAGAATTTCCTTGATGAGTCTGACTTGGGCGCTCGAGATGTGTAGTTCTTGATAAGCTCGCACTTTCTTGAGAAAACAACCGCTTGCCCTGAGAGGTTGAACTGTCCTTTTTTTGGTCTAAATTTCTGTCATCTATACCGCTCGAAAGAAGAAAGTCAGTCATAAAATTTCATGACATCAGAGTATAAGCGTCAACTCTGGATTGATACCTGGTTAACCGCTAGAAGCCTAGAAAGAAAGAAGGTAATACCTGGATTATTCTGGCTCGGGTTCCATTGATTGTTTTTCTCAAGAAATCTCGAGCTCGCGTAGCCTTCCGATCTTACAGCTTCATTTGTAGCTTCAAAGTCAGTCCATGCATCATTATCAACAAATATCTTTGAGGGTTCTTTTGACAAGAGCCTTTGTTCAGAAAGAGGAACAGACTGAGTGCTACTGTAGCTATGAGGATGCATTGACAATCCCCCGGATCTCAAGAGGTCCTCGGGGTGTTCGAACTCAAATATGTCAGCTTGGTTTTCAGGTTCTTCCCCCTTTTTACTTCTGCTACTACCAAGCGATGGTACTTCTGCCTGATTCAGAAAGTCTTTGTGCGCATGACTAGCCGGTGATGGATATTGGAACAGTGGGTGGGATGTAGGTGGAAAATCTCGGAAGCCGCTGTACACCAATCAAGGATTAAAAACAGATTGCTTTGCCTATTGATTAGTCATCCGAGACACTCACAAGTTCGAAGACCGCTCTGACCCTTGCTGACTCTCTAAAACAGGTATCATAGGCTGTGTGCTGTGAGCTGTGTCATGAGTAAGAAAATTTGTCATATCTTCGAGAGTCCCAAGAGGCCGTCTCCCGTTCGAGAGAGAAGAGATGACTGGAGAGACGGGAGGTCGCGATGAAGCGTCATCTACGATTTGATTGTGTTTTTTATTGAAGGTCTCAGAGGGATTATTGGAGTGGAATCTATCATTTCGTAGAACTCCATTAAACTGATACTCAGGAGATGATGAAGGAAAGGAATATTGAAGATATGGCATTGGGTGTGTCTCGTCGTGCATTGTAGTATGTTCAGCTGGGTATACTGTCGTGGTAATTTCATCATATGGGTCTGTTGTAGACGGTGAAATGTGGTCATTTGATAGAGTGTAGTGATCATGTCGAGCCAGAGGTGCAGTCAGATCTGGGCTAGGTAGTTTGTCAAACAGCTCGTCTTGGGACACTTCGCGATGATGAGGCTGTTCGTACTCTGGGGATGATGTTCCGAATATCTTCGGGGTTCTAAGCGGATGATCGTGGATACTTTGAGTTCTTTGAACATTGTCCGATCTCCATTCGTAGGACGGTTTCGGGCCGCTCACCTCTGGACTCGCTGGATGTAGTCCGCTGAGCACTTCGAGCCAAGACGAATCTAGCTCCAAGTCCGGAAGCTGGCTTATTGTGTGGGTTGATTCGTGGTGATACATTTTGTTCTCGAGTTGGTCTTCAAAGTTTTCCCATGACCCTTGTCCAAGGCTGTCCATTAGGGCTCCCGATGTGGGATGCAAGATATGTGAGTCGCGCCAAGAGGGTTCTTCAGAACTACTTGGACTTATTTGAGCATTGACCGGTCTCCATTCGTAATGCGGTTTCGCGCCTGTCACCTCTGTACTCGCCGGAGGTAGTCGGTCGAGCACTTCGAACCAAGACGGAGAATCTGGCTTCAATTCTGGGGGTTGACTTATTTCATGGTTTGATTCGCGGTGATACCAGTTGCTCTCGGGTTCAACTTCAAGGTGATCCCATGGCCCTCCTCGAAGGTTGTCCATAAGAGCTTCCGATGAAGGAGAAGTCAAGATATGCGAGTCGCGCCAAGGGGGTTCTATCTGTGGACCTGGAGGGAATACGTCGGACTGGGTTTCTTGCCCTGTACCTTGAAGTATCGGACGCTGTTCCCGAATCTCGATTCCGGCTCCGCTCGAATGATCGATCACTGCCCCATCGCGAGTCTTGAAGACACCTGTATTCATTTGCCCAAGAGACTGAAGACTTTGAAGATACTTTGTAGCAGAGGAGTTGTTAAACAAACAAAAGAGTCAAATATTATTATTTGTTTTGATCGCCGCGAAAACACATCCAAATTGTTCACTGACACTCTTCCCATATATATCATTGTAAAACTCGTCAATTGGCGGGATGTGACCGATAGACGTAGCGGGAATGTTTGCAGTCCAAGTTCCTGGCGCGTCAAAGAGTATGCCAGAGGCATGTTCGTTGTCCAATTCAGAAACACCCTGCTCATGGAGTGCCGGATCGAACGTTTTTGCCAAGTAAGACGCATAGCTTTCCGTGGTTGAGATAGGGTGACCTATGGTCTTGGAAAAATCCCAAACGCCCATAGCCGTCAGCAATATAGGCCAATTCAGAATCAAGGCTATGGTCTGGTATGACTTCTTGTTGAGCAAATCCATGGACGAGTCGCTTGGTGTTGGATGTGAGTTGTCTATTAGTCGTGAGTTTGATCATTTTCAAGACTTGAAGCTACAGGTTACTCAAGTGCACCTCGCACCATAAAGTAAATTGTGTCATCTCAAGTAATGCAAAACTAGCTTACGCGCCGAGCAGTCTCGGCCACCATCGGCGCTTTGCGCTACATCATCAGATGAAGGTGAAATAGGGTGAAATGAATTCGATTATAGTTAAGAAAGAAGAACTCCGAAGTTTTCGTTTGGCGAATCGTAGAGGATCTCTGTTTGTGCTATCTTATCAAGGCTTTACCTCTAAGGATTCAACGAAGAAAGCAAAGAATGTAAAACATGTAGGATACATCAAGCTTAATCATGCAGCCTCGCGGGAGCTTAAAGCTTAATCAACAATACCCAAGTGTCATGCCATTGAGCTTGATCGTCTCCTAACGAGTCTCGTAAATTAGCGGGATGCGATCATCATACCTATACAGGATCCTATCTTCTCGAAATCACGATGTTTAACTCGGTTTCTGGATGGAAATCAGTAATTGATCACATTCAAGCCCCTATCCCTTCCTCAAGCTCGGAGGACTAGGGTATTGTAATGGTCTATTTCAATGAAATTAACAAGGTCTTAGAAAATTGTTGTCTCCAGTATGTAGACGTGGGAAAAGTTGGATGTGGAATCCAGTGCTGTCGGTTGCTACGCGTGAAACGGAATATGTACGTGGCCTGAAAAGCTCGAACATCATGTTGTCGTACGCGAATTTTGGTGTTTAAAATGATGGTGAGTATGGGAGAAAGTAGCACAAAAGACCTGATCATCGAAGATGATGAGATGGATCATGGAATCATGAGTGAAACGGGCTGTCAAGTAGATTTCACAGGGCACGTGTGACACCTCACCCCTTGCGAGTCGAATTTTGTTTGGTCGCAGCTGGTCGTCATGTTGAGCTTGAATAACCTGAAGGAAGATATCGAGAAAGACAGACAACATGAACTTACCTCAAACAGAACAGCCAAATGACCTCCAACAATCAGATTCAGATATTTGGTTAGAAGAAGATTTCATTGAAACCAGTACAGACCATCAAGATCTTCAAACCTCTTCTGCAACTCGATTATCACAGATCGAATATGATCGAATGGCAGAAACATTTCATCAGGTAAGACCTTACATTCTCCAAAGCAGAATAAAAACCAATTCCTATACTCATCATCATTCTCAAAGGCAGGATATCGTGAGGGTATAAGCGAAGGAAAGCTTGTAACACTTCAAGCGGGATTCGATGAAGGCTTTAGTCAAGGATGCGAACTTGGAAAACAGCTTGGGACCCTCCGCGGACGAGCATCAGGACTCCTATCCTTCCTTCTGACTATCACAAACACGGAAGACGATAAAGAAGATCCAAGAATTGATAGAGTTCGGAAGCTAATTGGCGATTTAAACCGATGTGACCCGCTACCCGAATGCTTAGAACAAACTACAGCAAAACTCCGTTTCCGACCAGAAACCGAACAGCTAGGCAGGAAGGAGATGAATGAAAACCTCCCTGAAATTAAATCTCGGCCCGAAGGCCAACAATTGATCAACCGGTGTGAACTTGAACTAGACGAATTGCTTAACTCTATCGGATTCTTTGAAGCCCAAAAAAAGGTAATGGATAGCACAACTCAGCTCGAAAACCTTATCGGTTAATTGTAAGACGTACTGCAGTACACGACCCTGGACTTTGACTTGGATTTTCTATATGTGTATAGATGTCTTACTCTCTGCTTAACTTCAACCAGAGGCTATAACTTGCGAATCTTCGGAGACCTCATGCCTTGTGAGATAGCACAGGTGAAATTGATGCCTACACCAACACACAAATCGTTATTGTATCACTCTCGGAACCTCACATGACGACAGGCATAGAAACTCAAAGAGAAGATGAACTTTTACCCCGGGTGAAAATTATAAACTTTTGAGAAAAAAAACACGAATGTCAGGCGATTGAGATTGAAGATGTTGGAATTTACTATCAAAATTCTATCATCAAGTTATTTCATTATCAAAAATTAATTTTCAAAAGTAGATTGCACAACAATTCAAATGAAGAGAACTATTGAAAAAAGATTACGAATCTTAGGAAGTCATGAAATGATTATGAAGAATAAAGGAATTACTGAAATCGTTTGTCTCAATTCCATCTAGTGAAAAAAATTGATGGAAACAAAAATAGAGATCAATAACCAATGTTGTTCTTTGTTGATAAGTGTGATATTGATGGAACATCCAATGAAAGGAACAAAGTAAAGACCATTGAAAGAACTAAGAATACATTTGTTGGTACCAGCCCAATAGGACATGCAAGGACTGAATTATCTAGGTCAAATTGATTGAACTTCTTGCTGAGAGTTATCAATCTTAGAATGTGATCCAAGAATACCAAAGCCTACTGTTGGTCAAGTTATTTGATTCACCCTTGGTCTCTCTAGCGTTGGTGATCAAGCTAGTGAAATCAATATTCTGTAAACCGGGAGTTAATTCATTCAAAACTTCATCGGTAGTAGGCAAACATCCACATCATGTCTGTGTGGTGTTTGCCCGTCAACGAGCGCACACGAGTCGCCTTTGTGCCTCAAAGGCAGTCCGTGTGGAGAGACTGCCATAAGGACACGGTGCCAGCGTGAGACTTTTTTTGAGAAACTTTCTAATTGTATTCAATAAAACAGTCGCGATTTGGCTTATAGATGAATTTGGAGAATGTGTAATAATTGATTGGTGAAGCGCAATGGTTCAAAACCAGCCGGTGCAGTTACAGAGTTTGTTGAGGTGGTTTCAAGTAAACACAGAATTGGCAAAGAAATCAAATCAAACCGCAGTTGAGAGGCATGTTGGATCTGTGATAGTAATTGAGGCAATGGAAATGATTGGACATATTAGAAGATGAGAGTATATAAACTTTTAACAAACTGAGAAGAAAGAATAGAATGGATTTGATAGGTCTTTTTCTATAGACAAGATTTGATGGATGTTGGATGATGTTGAAGTTCATTCCTGTTGAGAATAGATGAGGAATCAAAACCAAAGATCACACGTGTCATTCGATACGACACTCACAATGTGGATGTTGATGGAAAAGGCTAGGATTCCTGTGATTTAAAGTTAAATTTCCTCTGCGAATGATATGCATTGAACTTTACATCAGCATATTGCAAAAAGGGAAACATTAGCGCGGCTTATAAGTAGCTTCAACGTACGAACGCGGCAGAGTTGGAAAAGGTGATTGGACAGGTAACATGGAATCAAAAACAGGAAAATGAAGATGAGCAATCTTTTTAAAACAGCAAGTTTTTGATCTTTTACCGAACAAGCGAGGTAAGAAAATAACTGCAGAAGTGGAATCAAATAGTCCATGGTATAAAGACAAAGTTGAGTGGAGCTTCGGAGTATGTTGAGACTTTCTATGGGTTATGGTGCAGCAAGCCTATGTGATTACACCAGTTATATACAGCTACATGTGCTCACTTATGTAACTCGATTTCACATTTGTAATTTCCGATCCAATTTTTTCGAACGGACAGGTCAGATTCACTCTCATTTGACTTTTATTATCTTTATAAGTTCTCTCAGCATCATTAGATTCGTAATCATCGCTTCTATAATCTTCAGGAACCGAGTCGGATCAAAACCTTTTCATCAAGAAACTCGATACAAATGTCCGGTCGAGGAGGAGGAGGTAGAGGAGGAAGAGGAGGAGGGAGAGGAGGAAGGGGAGGAGGACGTTCAGGAGGCATAGCAGATTTATCACTTGGTACTCTAACGTTTGCTGATATATTAGCTACCTCAAGAGCAGATGTAGGTGATGTACTTTATCCAACTCAAGGCGTTCAAGTTCCAAATACAGACGGACCTACACTTCATGAAGAAAAATCAGTTAGTTTAGATGTAGATCGTTGGTTATTTTCATCTGTTAAACCTGAAAGAAGTAAATGGGTAGTCGAAGGTGAATTAAAGAAAAGAAAGAAATCAAATGGTAGTGGAATCACAAATCAAATTTCTAGACTCGGACTGAATTCAACCATCACAACAAGCCAATCATCATCATCGAACAATCAAGATTTCCTTTACTCTGATCGATATAAATCTAATACTAGTCAATCACATTCACAATCAAAACAAACGAATGTACCGGATACAAGAGTTTTTCTAGATCAAAAATATTTTCCTACTGAGCTTTGGACAAGTTATATTGAAGGCAAGAAGACGATCTTAAAGACCAAGAAGCGTAAGGTTAACAAATCAAATGGCCTAGATCAACTCGAAGATGATGGGGATGGTGAGGAGAAGGAAGGAGAGGAAGAAGAAGAAGAAGCTATTATTGAGGAGGAAGAGGAGATTGATGAAGATGATGTGAGTTGTTTCTCCGATCCAATTTTGATTTTTGACTCAGTTTAGATTTGAATGTTTTCTCACTGGGCATTTGCTTTTGCTTCTTACTGATACGTCTTCTGTTGCCGATCCAATCTCGGATCTGCGCCGTTAGCCTGATTATGATAACAATTACTTTGATAATGGTGAAGATGACGATGGGGCGGGAAGTGGGGGCGATGGAGGTGGAGATGAAGGTTTGTCTTGAGATTCATTCGATACATCATCGAGTAAGAAGCTAATCCCCAACATTCTTTCACACAGGGGGCGTGTTCTGATCAGGTAAACCAAGTCTTATGGTATATCGTGTTGTTCATATTGTCTCTTCTTATCTCTTCCATTGCAACTAATGAGCTGTCAGACATGAAGTGTTGTTCCTTTTATCTACTTTATCCATAGAAATTCTCTCAACATTTCCTTATACCCACTTCTTCATAAACGCTCGTAGTTTGATTCATAAATTGACAAGAGTATGTATACATATGAAGTACTGACCAAAAAAAACATGAAAAGATTTATTATTGTAGTACCACCTGATCAAATGAAAGATGAAAGGACGATGACAGAGTCTGTGAAGGAATCAGATGAGTTGAGAAGTTTGAAAGTTGTTGAACTAGTGAAGCTGTAGACCACCTCCTCGTACTACTCTACGATTTGCACCCAACTAAAGAAATCGAAACCAAAACGTCAAAAGTTGATATAAAGAAAGACTACCCAAAATAGTAAAGCCGGAACTTAAACTTACCTGACAACCACAAAAGATTAACATTACTGCATAAACGATAGCTGACATGAAGCAGACTCTTGCTACTTTTGTGCCATTCTCTGGCGATGTCACTGATCCCATCAAAACATGGGCATGGTTTTGAAATCCGATGCCGATTGCTAGAAGAAAGACTACACCAATCGAAGATAGTACAGAGCAGCAACCAGCTAGATAGATACATAGAACAAAGTTAGTAATAGGTGATTGTATGAGTTTAGTCTTCTTTTACTGGTGACTTACCTAGTCCTGATCCTACAAGTGGCATGATTGATTTGGTTGAACAAATGAGTTTGATTTTGCTATGTTGGTCAGATCGAATTCAAGTGATGGTCGCCTCAATTCTCATCGACACTTCTCAGAGCCTGAGCCGCACCGCAGGTTCAGGCATTTCTAGCCCCGCGAGTCCTGGCCGTACATGCACTGATGGGATGTGATCCGGCCCTGCTCTTCCATACACATCAAAGAAAATTTCAAAAAACATGTCTGACAAAATGACTGTAGTTTTGAATTATGAGACACCATTGCAATGTGCTTTCTTGGGTTGGTGACTCAAATTGCCTCTAGTGCTACCCCAAATTCTGCTCTGAATCAGACTGTGGATTTGGGAAATATGGGCATCTATTTCCCACCCACTTGCATGTACCATATAATCATTCTGACTTATAGTAAGGACCAGGAGCAGTGGGTTCAAAGTAGTGGATTGATTTCAAAACTTGTAACACAAACTATCTTACAATGTGCTTCTACCTCTGTCATCTTCATTTTAAAGTCTCTTGTGCAAACAGGCACTGACCATCTGATGATCATAGCCCACTTGACAGATTGATAGGATTATAATTTACTTGCAAGGGAATTATTCAAGTTGATTACATACTCAATAAAATCTCAATCACATTTCCCATAATGCATTTGATCCTAATTAATGAACAAAGAACCTATTTCTTGAATTAAATCTGTCAGAGTCTATCCAGATTTCTTGTGATGATATCATTCATAATTCCTTGAATCCAAATCTTCTCAAACTCTTGACTTCTTTACTCAGAGTCATAACTCATGATCCAATCCTCACAAGCCTCATTTTTTTCACAAAACAAAACTAATCGAGTTTAGTCCTCTAAACAACCTCTGCAAAAGTAAACCCTCAACTTACAAAACTCATTTAAACAAAACCCTCAATTTAAATGCCCTAAATTCTTATCAAGTCTTTGTCAGAAATAAAATTATATATCAATGAAATTCATTCATGTACATAAACCCAACACTTTGAGAGAAAAAAAATCCTACAACCCACTAAAGTTGTATAAAGGTTTCTGACTTTGTGCCTAATCAAATCATTTCACAATATCATTGGTTTACCCACTTTTCTTTACTGGATTCAGTAAACACATCTTTGATCATTCTTTGTATCTGTATGATCAAATACAAACCCAAAAGAAAATCAGCTAGATGTTCAATTTAAAGGAAATCAATGTATAAAGAACTTACACATTGAGATCATCTTGATCTTGATTATTTCTTGACCAATTCAAAACTCTTGATGACCTAACACAACATCATTCTTAAAAATTTACAAATCTTATCTAGATTTTTCAAAAAACCAAATGATAAATGAAATCTTCATTAAAATCACAAGAACATAAAATAATTTACTTTTTTTGGTATACCGGGTTTTGAAAATCCAGATCCCTTCCTCTATCTTGTTTTATCATCTTCCCAAACCATTCATTCAGGATTGTGTAAGAAACAATTCTTTCAATGTAAAATCCAATTTTCAGTGACCATTTTTGCTTTGAAAAATCTAATTCATGTAAACCTACTCAAAGTCAAACATATACTTTTTTGATACTTCATAAACTCCCCAGACCCCTCCAAAAAAACTCATTCAATCCAATCTTACACATGATTATTTCATAAAACCATAAACCCAAATCAAAAATTAAAACTACTAATCAAAAAAACCACACACACACACAAACTAAACCAATCAAATAACCCACAAAAACAATCATACTAGTTTTTTTTTCTTGATGATTATAATACACAAACTGATATAAAAGAAACCTTTTTTTGGTCAAATCTCTTTATAATCCTTCTTACTCTTACTCTTCTTGACTCCATTCCACAGAATACACAACAAATAAAAATTCATATCTCAACTTTTCAATGTTTTCTTTCATACATTTCTTTTTTCCCTTAAGATATACTTTTTTTCCCCTTGATACCTTTTCTTTAATTCTTCTACCTAATCAAAAAACACATTACATTACATTCCAATCCAAAATTTTAAACTTTTTTTTTCATATCAAAAAACCTTTTTTAATGTTTCTTAACCGGACTAAGTTCAGGTGGTAAACCCAACATATTTTGATCATTCTAAAAAAAAATCACAAAAAAAATCAAAATAAATCATGTAAAAGAAAAAAGAGAGACAGAGATGGAAGAGTCACAAAGAAAATCTTACATCTAAATCTTCATTCTTTCCTGCTGACCAATTCAAAACCCGATGACCACTTCCGATTCCATTCATCAATCGATGACTATTCTTAACATTAAAAATCTTACGTCTATACCCCACCCCACACACACAAACACCAAAAAGAAAGGAAAAAACAAAAAAATATGTTGAGTCTCAATGAAAACTGTTTAATGTGAAATTCGAAACAAAAAAAAAGTTAACAAACTTTTTGATATTAAGCTTTCCAGTCCCTCCACCCAAACTTTCTCCTTCTTCTTCTTCTTGACCTTCTTCTTCGACTACTACTTCTCCTTTTTCCTCTTCGACTTCTTCGACTTCATCCTTCATCTTCTTCTTTCCTACTTTTCCTCTAGCTCTAGGTTTCACATTCTTAGTAATCACCACATTCGCTTTCTTAACCGATTTTCCTTTTCCAACTTCTTCTTCTTCCTCTTCTTCTTCTTCTTCCAAAGCTTTCTTTTTACTCACTTTACCTTTCCTCACCACTTTTTTCACTGGCTCTTCTTCTTCTTCTTCATCAGGTTTCTGTTTTTTGGTTCTACCCTTTACCTTCTTTAATGGTACCACCGCTTCATAATCTTCATCATCTCGATCCCTTTTACCAAGTCCTACATTTCCTCCATCATAATCATCATCTGAATCTATAACATCAGCTTTTGCTTTTCCTTTTCCTTTTGCCTTTCCTTTTCCTTTAAGTTCAGTTGAATTGAGTTTAGCTTTCTTCACACTCAAGTTTAATGCAGCAGGTGATCTAGATGAAGGGATCGGATTAGGTTCCGATATCGGACTATGACCATCCATCAAAGGTGTTGAAATGTTTCCTAAATCTTCAATCGTACTGGTTTCATCATCATCCTTAATAACGATCGGATCCGGTAAGTTTTTACGTGATCTAGCTTTGATCGGTTTAGTAGTAACTTTTCGACTTGCATTCACACCTTTCTTTCTTCCTCTAGTCGGCTTAGGAGCAGGTGGTGATGGTGGGGTAGGTTCATCTTCTAGATCTTTTTCTGAATCAGTTGGATTTTCTTCATCCTTGCTCACTCGATCTGGTTTACTAATACATCCACTGATTGAAATCCATCCATCATTGGTGATCATTCGATTCAAATCGATGCCTTCTTCTTCAAGATCCGAATCTGGTATCACTTCTTCACATCCATTTGTCTTCTATTTCGTTTCATCGACAAATTCGAATCAGATAAGTTATCTATACGATTTCTTTTTTTTGGAGGGGCGGGGCTTCGAACAAAGAAACCTGTCTGATGCTAGAAATACACTTACTGATCGAACCTGAGTGGATATAGGTTTTTTAGACCTTCCAATCGGTTTCTTTTTTTCTAAAACATTGGATTTCTTAAGCCGTTTAACTGTTTCAGATTTCTTCAAACCTTCATCTGAAACCTCATCAGATCGATTCTTCTTTAAAGAATCTATAGGTTCGGTTTGATGGGTTTTAGATCCACTTGGATGATTCGATTCAGAAGATTTCTTGTTGGATTGAAACGAATTCGAATGTTCTCTTGATTCTCGATGTGAAATTCTTAGTTGTCTATTAAGTGTTCCGATTTGTTCTTCCATTTCACTAACTGTTAAATGTGATTCATTTAATTCGGTTAAAGTTAATTCATATGTTTCATTTAATTTTCTTTTTTTTTAAACAAAGTGAAGTTAAGAAGAAAAAAAAGGAAAATTTATCAGGATGACGACTCATCAGAAAGATTCCTTCATTAATTAAGATTGAAACAATAGAAATCAAATGCTTACTGATGAGTATGACGAAGTGACTCGTTTTCGGTGACAAGTTCATTGAATTGTTGTTTTGAATTCATCAACTCTTCTTGTAAACTTTGATTTTGTTTCTCTGAATTGATTAAATCAGTCTTCAATCTGTTAACTTCAAGTTGAGATAAATCGAATTTCTCTTTGACCTGTTTGATATCGATTTCCGATAAATTTAATTTCTCTTTGACTGTTTTCATTTCGATTTCCGATAAATGTAACTTTTCTTTTACTTTTTTCATTTCGATTTCATTCAAACTCAATTGACTTTCGATCTTACTCATCTCATATTTCAATGAATTCAATTCAATCTTAGGTTCGATCCGATCCAACTCTAATCTTTGTTTGATTTCTTCTTTTTCTCTTCTTTCAATCTCCAACAAACCTTCGAACTCGGATCCGATCCTAGCCCATTCTTGATCTTTAATATTCAATCCATTCAATTCAGTTAGCAATCGTTGGTGTTGTGAATTCATCTCAGATTGAAATCTCATCACGCTTTCTTGAATCCTTTCTTGTTCTGATTCTTGTCCTTTTAGTCTTGTTCTCAATAAGTCTTGATTTAATAATGATAAATTTAATTGACATTTTAAATTTTCAAGTGATGTTTTCAATTTCACTAAATCATATTCATGTTCGATACGCCTCATCTTCATCAATCGGTTCGATTCATTTTGACGATCTTCATCAGATTCCAAATTGAATCCGGTCTCTGCCCATATCGCTTTTTGTTGGATTTCAGATTCTTTAATTTCTTGTCTGACATCATTTTGTTGATTTATAAATTCTAATGAATCTACTTTAGATAAAACTTCATTGATTCGATCTTCATACATTCTCCTTTCTTTTTCATCTAGGCCTTCATTCACCAAATCTCGATCAACACTCACTTCAGTAGTCGTTTGATCATCTAACGATCTTCGATGACTTGTTGATTTCTTCATCATCATCAATGATTGAGTACATTCTAATTCATCAATGAGTTTGATCTTTTCCTTTAATTCAAC